CTGCCGTCAGCTCCGGCCTCCTCCCCGCTGAATAATGAGGTTGGGAAAGTAATAAGTACTTAGCTATCGGTGTTAACCACTTCGGAAAAAAAGCACAGGATGTTTGGTGGCGTTTTTTAATGTATAAGCTTTCGTTTGAATAGCAGCGTCAGGTTCCTAAGAAGAAAGTAGGCGGCTGCACGGTTAGATAAAATAAGAACCAACGTCCTCGGTATCTTTTATTTGGCTGTACCCGACCTACTGTACGTGCTCAGAACGCCCTGTGACAGGTCCGATCGTATCACTGCGGAGTTTTAAACCGCCGAGGTGTTTTGCCTCAAGGTCCTTTCTGTTTCCAGAAGCATTTTATCTAAGATCCGTGGACAAAAAACGCATCTTGATATTTTAATCCTGTGGGCGGTATCATATGTGCCCATATTAAACCAAACTTACAAGCTGCGATACTACGTATTTTAAGAGCAAGGTCGCGTTATGAAAGAAGTTGAAATGTCGGCGATTCCCGCACGCACCGAACTGAAATAGTACAGACGAGATTTGAAACGGTGCCGGTTGGTCTCTCCGTCGCTGGCGGTATGAATTTTGAACCTTCGACAGGCATTTTGTAGAATTAGCTGTCTTTGCTTTCTTCCTGGAAAAATGTTTAACAAATACTGTGTTTTGTGAATATGCCGATTTAAATGACTTCGTCATTCAAGAGGTTCCCTAGTTTAAGGAAGGGTCTTTCTTATTCTGTTTCTGAATACCGAATAAAAATTGTTTCCTAAGCACCCAAGCGCATTGATGTGTCTTACCAGTTGTAATTTATTGATTTTGTTCTCATAGTAGCAAATCCCCTTCATATATAACCTATAGCTTATCCAAAATAAACTTGAGGAATAATAAATGGTTGCTGTTTTCCTAATTTTGTATTTAAGTTAAACGTAACGAAAATGCAGTAAAGATCTTAGGCAGCTCACCTGCTTCTCCTTACAGCTGCGTATGAGTAAAGCTAGATATAACTTTTTGAGTGCCAGAATAAAGCACACGCAAGAAAAACGGTATGCGAAAGGCAGAGCTAGCCACATCGATCCCGATTTCCCCGTGCCGTTACTACCTGCGTCTTCTCCTCCCCCCCGGTCTCCGTAGGTGTGAGTGTGCACCAAGAGTTTGCAGCAGAGGGGGGGAAAAAGCCCCAACCCTGGTAAATGCACGCTAAGCAATTACCGTCTCATAAACGGACAAATAAAAAACCCAACTGGTATTATTTCTCCGGAATCGTTTCGTATTTTAAAATGCGTTTGCCAAACCGATAATTTTAAAGGACTTGCTAATAACACCGCCATGAAAAAGTCGGTTAAAGTTAATTCTGTGAGAATAAGGTCTCCACTATTAAGAAAGAAATCATGTAATTGCTTGATTATTGGCATCCTTTAATTGTTCCCGTGGAAAAATAGGATGTTTTACCAGACCTTAAAGCTTCGGTTACTTCAGCCGTTTCTGATAAAGCCCGCCTCCTTCGAGAGGAGCGCTTTAACAGTAAAACCCCATTCTGGTGGGCTGATCAGCGCTAGCCCTGAAGATGCCTCCTCGGATTTGGAGTAGCAGAAAGGGTTGGGACTGCGCGGGAGACCTCCAGTGTCCCGTGAAGTGGAACAGCCCTTGGCTTTCCTTGGTAGGAAAGCGTGAGGGAGGGCTTGTGGGGTGAGGTGGGGAGGTGCAGGGGGTGCTTTTTGGATGGGAAGGAAATGCGGTCGTAGCCGAGCGCAGCGTGGGGATGTTGCAGGCTGTCTTACCTCATTTGTTTGTTTAGAAGCAACGTTCTCAGGTTTTGTTGGGGGTTTGTTTGGTGGGTTTTGGGTTTGTTCGGGTGGGGTTTTTTTGGTTTGGTTTGGTTTCGTTTTGTTTTTTTTCTTTGTGATGCTTTTTGTTAAATCACGCTTTTTGGTGTGATGCTCTGTGTATTGCATTAAATGCCGCAACTAAAACTTGTTACATTTCTTGGACATTTTTGATCCAAGTCACGGAAGTCCACCCGGGTTTGTGTGACAGAAACAGAACTTGCAGCTGCTGTGTCCCTCTTTAAGGAGCTAGCAAGCTGCCAATTTCACAGCAAAGGTAATTTATTTTATAAATAAATACAACTATTTGAAAAATAACTTCTTCTGATTCATGTGAAATAGATGATGCTACAGAAAGCACTTTCGGAAAACTTGTATTACATTTCTGAAAGTTTCTAACAATTTCTCCTTCTGAAAAGGATGGGGGAGATATCCCAAGAGCCTTTCTCTTTTTACCTATAACTGTTACCTTGTAGCCACATAAAACAATATTCTTTATCTAAACCCGGCACAGTTTCCCCCGGCTCTGGGTAGGTAACTTAAATCCGAGTCTCCTCCGGCCCGTCTCAGCCTGCCGGGCGCCTCTGCCCCTGCCCGGCCGTGCTGCCCCCTGCCCACCCGCTGGCTCGGCTTTGCAAGGCTGGAGGGGTGGCTGTTGCCGAAGGGGAAGGCTGCAAACTTGCCAAACCTCACGTACAGGAATTACGTTACTTAATTTCGAGGTTTCTGTGGAAAGCCTCTACTTTGCTTCTTTGGATGTAGGTGTTGCTTTTAGACTGACACGCGACGATTTTACATCTCTCGTTCAGGTCTGACATTGTTCTGGTGGAGGAAGAAAACTGGAAGCGTAGACAGGGAAAGAACCAGAAAAATTAGAGGTGACCCGGGCTAAATGTTGTATCACGAGGTGAAGGAGAGTAATACCCAGCAGAAGGAGAACACAACGCTGATTTATTTGGCCTTTCCTCTGTCCCTGTGTGGCAAGTGCCTGCTTCCCCCCCAGGGCGGCTGCTGCAAGGCCTGCCGGTTCCCCGCCGCCGGAGGCTCCCCAACCTGCTGGGAGCCAGCAGGTAGGTGAGCCTGTGTAGCCGCACGTTAGCCGTACCGTGCTCAGAAGAAACAGGCACCCAGATATTCGGGTTGCTTTTTTTTTTTATTGCACAGATTAACTAAAACCACGGCAAAACCTAGGCGACGTCACCGGGCATCTCCCACCCGACTGACAGCCGATTTAAAGGAGATGGCACTTGACAAACGCTCTGTGATTGTTTTGTTCCTGTACTAATTAACTCGAATTAGCACTCTCATAACTCAAGCTTAAAGGTTGTGGTGCAGATAAGGTTCATCACCTGTGGCAGCCTTTGGCTGGCCGCGATCGACCAGTGCCTCTGAAGCCACCCCTCAGCCCTGGCGCCCCGCGGCAGGGAGCTGAGAGGGCTCTCGGATAGGCGGGAAAGCCTCACCCTCGCAGGCACCTGAGAAGAAGCAGAGCAGGGGGGAAGAATGACGCAGGGGCGCTTTTAATGGTGGGCTGGGTGCGGCGGGGACCGCAGGGCTGGAGTATAAAGTGTGAGGAGAAAGGCGAGCCTCGCCGGTATCTTCCCGAGGAGCAGGCTCTCTCGTTCGGCGGAGCCCTTCTCCTCAGGCTCCCGTCCTGCCGGCGCCCTGCCCTCACCCTAGAGCGGTGCCGCTCTCCCGAGGGCCGCAGCGCGGAGGGGGCGGGGGAGGCAGTGCGGCAGCGGTTGGTAAGGGCGGGTAGTTCAAATCCAAGCGAGGGAAAGCAGCGGTAGCCTCACGCGAGGAGCCGGTGTGGGTGGAGAGAAGCGAAGCGGCTCCTCGCTAAGGGCAACGGGCCCCAGAGCCAGGCGGCGAGCTGCTGAGGCGACAGGATTCCCGTTCTCTCCAGCCAGCCGGGGAGGGGGGTTCCTCGCATTCACCCCTTCTCAGGGAGCCCCGCCCCCCGCCTCAGCTGCACTCGGTAGTAGGGGGCCTCTAGGCTCTGTTTCCTGTGCCCGGCGATTTGCCAGATGAGGGGGTGAAGCTGTTGCTTTGCTCGTGTCCGGCATCCCAGGTGACTGAGAGACCCTCGGGTGCTGGTCCCTAGGTAGCCGTCAATAATCTTCATCGCTGGGTAACTAGACGTTGCAGTGAACGCATATATAGACGAACTGAAAACTGTGTCTCAGCTGGGTAATACTTCTCTTGCATCTCTCTCTTCTCTCCACATCCTTTCTCACTTTAGGTTATCAGTAGGGGTAAACAATACTCTGAATACAGCACCTTTGCTTTGGAAGATCTCGAGTTGCTTCACAAATTAGGGTAAGTGACCCACATCTTACAGATAGGATTTAGCTATGCCATCTTCCATATTAATACCTTTGAAGGTATTAATGACTTCTCTGTTTTTAACCTGGGTGCTCAAAGAGCAGAGTCTTCCGATAAAGACAGTTTTACTGCAGATATGATATCTGTTTAAATAACAGAGAAAATACTGTTGTATCACCAAAACTTT